AGACAGAGACAGAGCATGAACGGGGGAGGGGCAGAGAGAGAGGGAGACACAGAATCCGAAACAGGCTCCAGGCTCCAAGCCATCAGCCCAGAGCCCGACGCGGGGCTCGAACTCACGGACCGTGAGATCGTGACCTGAGCTGAAGTCGGAGGCTTAACCAACTGAGCCACCCAGGCGCCCCATGTTGTGTTGTTTTCCACCCGGAGCTAGCAGTGAAGGTAGACTACTGGTCACCCAGCATATTGGCGTGCCCTCCCCCAGTCCAACTGAATAATTCCTGGTCCATAGGATTTTATGAAAATTGAAAGACATGATAAGTGTAACAAGTTGTATTAAAGCATCTATATTTTAATGCTTCTTGGTGCATGTGAGTCTTGGCTGAGATCGTTCACCTCGAACATTTGCTTTTCGCCTTTCAGTCTGTGCTAAGGGCCTGGGGCTTCCACGGAGACTTTACCTTTCTTTAGGGACATCGGCACGGGTTCCTGGTTTCTGTCTCCTGATGCTACCTGACCCAGTCAACGATTATTTGGCCAAACAGAAACTTAATTTCTTCCTTTTGACCCACAACTTAGTTACAACTGTTTAAATCACATTGCTCCTCAGGTTTGGCACAAGAGTAATTGCTTTCTTGATGCTATTGAAGTGCTTTATTTTAGGTAATAGTAACACCCATCATTTCATGAGTGTTTACTGAGTGCCAAGAACTCTCTATATCTGGGACCTCTTCTAATCCTCACAAAAATCCTTTGAGGTAAATACTTTTATTTCTCTTATATGGAAATATATGTGTCTTGCTCTTGACCTGGTGTGTAAATCTGAGGAAAAGAAAGATGAAGTATTTTTTTGTAGGACCTAACAACCAGCCAGTGGTGAAGCCAAGCTTCGAATGCCATTGTTCTAATTCCAGAGCTTAAAGTCTCTCAGCTCAGCTCTCCTGCTGATGGAAACAGAGTCAATGTCTGTCTTAATTCAGAGGAAGTATAAATGGGGAGAAATACTTAAGAGGAAACTACCTTCTAGAAGTTTCGAGAGATCTGAAACTATAAATGAAAACTTTCACAGCTGGACAAAAATAAATGTAAAAGATGGAACCATTTTATTCTTTACAATACGCCCATCCATTTAGAAGTGAAATTGAGGCTTTGTGTCAATGGAGAAATAGTCATTATTTGTTATCTCATGGGTTTAACTCTTTCATGAAGGTTACAGGATTTACAATATCCACTGAGGAAACCTCCCCCCACCCCCCGCCAGTCCCATTATTCTTCCCATACCTTTGGGCAAGAAAATCCCAATGTTCAATCAGAATGGAAGGTAAGGAGTCAGGAGGACTAGGGAGTCATTTCTGTATGGAATTGCACACGGGACCACTTTTGAGAAGCTGGCTAGAAGGAAAGGGCTGGGAGCATCAGCAGAGCACTGTCTTCTGTGACCAGTACAGAGAGAAGCCAGGGCAGGTGAGGCCACTCTCTGCCCCCATCTGCTGGGGCTGCCACAGCCGAGTGTCACCGACTGGGGGGCCTTTCAAGCACACAGAGCTGAATCTCACTGTTCTGGAGCCTAGAGGTCCAGGATCGAGGCACCAGTGTGGCTGGGTCCAGATGGCTGACTTACATGTCCTCTCATGGTGGGAGGGGGAAGGGGTCCGTCTGGGGTCTCTTCCCTGAGGGCACACTAATCCATTCGTGAGAACCCCACCCTCATGAGGTAGAACCTCCCTGAAGCCCCTCCTGCCAGTATTCACACTGGGGTTAGAATTTCAAGATATGAATTGGAGGGGGCACCCACATTCAGACCACAGCACCCTCTCCTCCAGCCTGTGGTACATGATGCTCAGGTAGCATTCCAAGTGAGAAGCAGGCTCCACTCTTCTCATTACATCCCTGGGGCACCCTGTTCTTTAGGTCTTTCCTACTCTCCCTCTATTCTCAGACACCCTCATTGGCTCCTTCACATATACGCTTGGCTGGAATTAAAAGGAATGAATGCTTTTTCCAGAAATTTTTTCTCAGCAATTCAAAAGGTTTAAGTACGTCTTGTCACTCGAATTGTACAAGACCTCCTTAACTCAGAATTCGAGGTCTTTCTCCAAATGTGAGTGCCCACCTTTTGCTTCCTAAACTCCCTGCTCTGATCGCAAACCGACCCTGTTCTCCCGCCAAAGAGCAGAAGCTCAGCCATGTGGTCAGAGGCTCTGTCCTAGCGGGGAGCTGGTGCAGAGCTGGGGTACGACCTCTTTCAAGGTGTAGAAGGAGGTCAAATTGGTCGGACAGAAATGGTTCATGCAGAAGGGCAGAGCCTGAAGGGTTATGAAATCTAAAGAAGGGGGATTGGGGCGCCTGGGTGGCGCAGTCGGTTCAGTGTCCGACTTCAGCCAGGTCACGATCTCGCGGTCCGTGAGTTCGAGCCCCACGTCGGGCTCTGGGCTGATGGCTCAGAGCCTGGAGCCTGTTTCCGATTCTGTGTCTCCCTCTCTCTCTGCCCCTCGCCCGTTCATGCTCTGTCTCTCTCTGTCCCAAAAATAAATAAACGTTGAAAAAAAAAATTAAAGAAGGGGGATAGAAGGCAAGAGTGTTCACATATGAAGAAGCTGAGAGTGAGTCACTGAATAGAGAAACAGGGATTGCAGGCGTGTGTGTGTGTGTGTGTTAATTTCTGGGATAGTGGGCTGGATGAAGCATAGACCATCTTCATAAGGTAATGGGTGGTCTCTCCATTACGTGGTGTCTCTGTTTTTTTTAATTTTTGATCATACACCCAAACACAGTCTATTCTGCTGCCTATGTTGTTTCTTTGATATTTATTATTTCAGAGAGAGAGAGAGGGCACGAGCGGGTTAGGGGCACAGAGGGAGAGAGAATCCCAAGCAGGCTCCACGCTGTCAGCACAACTCGCAAATCGTGAGATCATGATGGGAGCTGAAGTCGGGCGCTTTACCAACTGGGCCACCCACGTGCCCCTGTTATTTGACTGAAATTAACTTCTACACACAGGAAAATAAGGTGAGTTTCTATACATCCTGCGGGTTCATCTACAATTTCTCCTGGCACGTTAATAATTTGAAGGGATTATGGTTCAAGGTCACATCAGGACTAAAGACAAAAACATCAGCAATATATAAAGACCTGAAGGAAAAAACATGCAAAATCTGCTAGAAGCATCCTACTCCAGTACAAGAAATCGGTGACTTAGTCTTCGTTCTCCAGCATAAGCTACCCGGGAAGCTGTAAGGATAGACAGAGAAGGTGCAAGGACATTTCTCCCTGTATTCAAATACTAACTGATGAAGAAGGTTACCCCTGAGCTGGAGTTTTCATTTTGATCACATGGTCTCTACGAGAAGTCAATGTCTTCAAAGCCCCGTAACTCTGAGGGCCTGTAAAGATGCACAGGTGATGGCTCTGAGTGGTGATGCCCACGCAAAGGGCTAGAACTCACCCGAGGATCATTATTGCTTTAATTAGGGCTCTGGATGTGGAGTCCCCAAGGGCTTAAAAGAGTTGTTGCTGACCTTTTTTGCCTCATAAACCCTGTGTTCTAGCCCATGATTTTGCAGAATACAGAGTTTTTCAGAACCCATGTGGAGTACTTTACATTATTTTATGCTGCTGCAGGTAAGCATTATTCCGATTTCCAAGGGTCTCTGCTGACAACAATAACTTTAAATTGTTTCAACAATCCAGACTCTGAGTTAAAAGTATCGATCCTTCTGAGATATTGTGAGGTTATGTAATGGGCATCCCTTTCCTCACGTCTTTTGCCTGTAGAAACAGGTCAGGCCTGGGGTCAGTGAATGTGATCGCCCCGATTCACTGAGCAAAGCAGGTGAGAAGGAGCCGGGAAGGGTCAAAGCGAATGCTGAGGTTTTGGAGTTTCCAGCCAATTTCATAGTCCTGGGTGCTTGAAAGCCTTCCCACAAAACACAGGAAAACATCTACTCTCTTACCTTTACTCGTATGTTACCGCAGAAGAAGAGTTTTGCTTTTGGTGTTTTTTTTTTTTTTTAATCAATATTCATCTCTAGTTTATTACTGCTTTGCTGAAGTTAAAACTTAACTTTGGTGCAACTGAATGATCTATGGTGACACCAATCACCCAGTGATCCCGACATGCCGCCTGATCTCAGGAGGTACAAATCTATCCCACTGTTAGAATGGACAATGCAGATACCAGCGCCCTGAGAAGATGGGGCTAACGAGGCCTGCTGTTGGGCACTGAATGTTTGTGGCCCTCTCCCCAGTTCATACGCTAAAGCCCCCAAACCTAGTACAGCTACGTTTGGAGATAGGCCCCTAAGAAAGTACTTAGGGCTACTTCAGGTTAAATGAGGTTCTAAGGGTGGGCCCTGATCTCATAGGATTAGTGTCCTTTTAAAAGGGAACCAGAGCCTGCTTGTTAGCTCACACTTTCTCTCTCTCTCTCTCTCTCCCTGCAGGTGCTCACAGGAAAGGCTACGTCCGCGAGCTAAGAGTCCTCACCAACAGGGGAAACCAGGCCATGATCTGGGGACTTCCAGCTTCCAGAACTATGAGAAAATAACTTTTTTATATCATTTAAGCTGCCCAGTCTACAGCCCAAATACACTAACACCCTTGGGGTCAGTTGGCAAGGCAGCCAATGGGAATGGCGAGTTGCCAAAACTCTATTCCTTTACTCTGGTGCTAATATCTACCTTGCCGGTAAATATTCAAATTGCAAGGCATTTGGATGGTGAAAATATTACTTCAAATTCAGAAGTAGAAATGCATAATCATTAAAAATATAAACACCGTGTTAGTTTATAATATTGCCTTGCAAAATTTCCAACCTAAGAATTTCTTTTGAAATTAGGCTTTTCAATGAGCATCATTCAGGAGTCCATCTTTGACCATGTATAAATCAAAGTGCTGTGCTATTTTCAGATGAATATGCTACCATGGAAACATATGTGAGGTCACCACAAGAGCTCCATTGCTATGCAATATATGGAATGTGGGTTTGCATTTCTTGAGTGATAGGTAATAATGTCAAGCTTTGAATGGAAAGAGATAATGTTGTACACATAAAATGTGAGTAGCAGGTATTCATGGTTAATTATCTCATTTTTATTTACTGATTCCTAACTTTCTGAATGGAGAAAATATCTGGGCATATGGCTATTGAGCTAATGCCATTAAAACACTAATGTAATATTGATTTAATGCAGGTTTCTCAGAGGTTAAATATCCATTGGCTTCTGCATAAACAGCGTGAAACAGAACAAAATGCAAAATGCTACTTGATAAGAATCTTAATGTCTAATTACTTAAATCCAGAGACTTTGGAAGAAGCATATGCAAATTTATTAACTAGTTGTGGCAAAATGCCTTTAAAGCCACCTACACAAACACGACACCTCTGCATCTTTTATCTGTCGGTACTGGATTTCCATTTCTCAGTTCCAAATGTGGCAGGCTTTTCCTCCCTTTGTTCCAATGAATCCAGAACTTTGATATTTCGCGTCTTGACATTTGGCCCACTGAGAGAATGTACAAAACCTCAAGACATCCACAGTCATCACTTCAGGAGCTGTGTGTATGGGCATATGCCTAAAAATGTTGTACTAGTCGCTGTCTTAATTATCACACAGAAAAGTCTTACAACACAAAAGGGAACCTTACATCTAGCACGTGAGAGCCCTGGGGGGTGCGGTGAAGGGCTGAATCACCTTAGAAAGCTTTGAGTCACAGTCTGCCAAGCAGGTGCTCTGGGGATTTGAGCAAGGCCCTTTGCTCTATAGGAGTTTATTCCCTGGATGAGCGTTTAGACACAAGACAAGAACATCACCACAATTGATCTCACCCGGTATCATTCGGGAATGAATAGAAATCTGAAGAATACTTATGTCATGTATATGCCCTTTCAAGTCACATTTTTGAAATATTCTCAAGACAATTTAATTTCCTTAAAAAGCAATCCCTTGCTTCTTTCTATCTTTTGTTTATGATTGCATCTGACAGACAGAAGCCTAGATATCAGATTATTATGTCACAGCTTAGTGATTTGTCAACATATATTCTTTCTTACCCTTCATGCTACCTTTAAATTGTACTATATGGAGTAGAAGCAAAATTAAAACACTGTGTACAAGAAAAGCTATAAAGACAAGCACCCCTCATGAAACAAAACAATTCAATAAAATATTTGGATGTATGTGTAGGGGAGCATGTATCTCTGTGTGTGTGTACATCTATTCATGGATATGTCTACATACACTCAACCAGCAGAGAGCTGGGACAGGAAGAAATAGAAAGACACAGTGAGACCATTTTCTTTTTCCTGAATGCTAAAAAAAGCATATTAACACAGATGTTACCTAGACTTAGTGTGATGGTTATTTCACAATATATACAAATATGAAATCATTATGTTGTACACCCAAAACTAATATAATGGCATATATCAATTATATCTCAAAAAAAGCAAACAAAAATGATTCAGATTATTTCTATGCTGGAGATCGTACCAGATTTATAAAGACAAACCCAAATATGTATTTTACTGCCAAATATCTGATTTTTTTTTTCAAAACTACCTGCAATCTTCCAGGAAGATAGATGTTGCTTAGCCCATGAAAATTTAATAAATATTCTGTTATTGTGAAGAAGTGTTCATCATGTTAATTTCTGTCACTAAGAGTATTAGATCAATCTGACTGTATACACACAAAAACATGGGAAAGTGGAAGGAATCCAGGGAATTCATGGAAACTGTGATATTTGGGGTTTGAAAGTGAAGTGACATAAAAAAAAAAAGTGAAGTCAACGGGAGTGACTTTGGCAAAATGGAGGACTGGATGGCTCCAAATTCCCCTCCCCCAAGAGAGAAGAGAAGTGCACAGAAACTGAACCCACAGGGTCAGGACTCTGGAAAAGAGCCAAACCTTCACAGCAATCAGACAAATGCTGAATCAAGGATAAGAGGACTTGAAAATGGTTGAAAGCTTTGAGCCACCTTAGTTGCCCTTGCTCCACCTCCCTCCCTGGCTCCTGTGTGGGAACCTGGTCTCTGGCTTCAGAGGGAGCCATAATTCATTCTGCTTGTCTATCCTAATCAGTCTGGAAACTACCAGAACGATTGATGCAAGCCTTCCATTTCTGTTTCACCGAACACAGAACCCACTGGGGGCAGAAAATGACAGACATTGCTCAAAAACACTTGTATGGCAAAGAAAGACCCACAGCTATGTGGGGCAGAAGATAATGGTCGAGACATACGGTTGACTCAGAGGCCTGGAGGAAATTTCTCTGGGGATACTGGGACATCCAAAAGCACCCATGGGTACTGCGGGAGTTTAGAAAACCACAGATATACCCAGGGCAGGATGCGTGCTCACAAAAGACCAGAGAAGACCCTAAGCTGATCTCTAGCCTCCACACAAGTGACAAAGTCAAGCCACAAAGAGTAGAAGAATACTTTTGTCTTCTGGGTGTTTTTGTTTTGTTTTGCCTCGCTTAGCTTTTTGCTCTTGGATTGAAGGAAGTCTTTACCTTAACATTACACTAGTTGAACAAAGGGGTAAGCTTTTAGCCATCAAGAAGAGAAACATCTAGGAGGGGAGAGAATTTGATTTACAGAGTTACCAGAGAATAATATTCTAATGTCCAGTTTTCAACAACAATAACAACACAAAATTACAAAGCATACAATGAAGTAAGAAAAGACAGCCCACGCAGGAGAAAAAGAAATGAACAGAAACCATCCTTGGAGAACCCTAGACCTTGGAGTTACTAGACCAAGACTTTAAATCAACTGTTTTAAATATTTTCAAAAATTTAAAGAAAACCATAGGCAAGAAACAAAGTAAACCAGAAAAATGATGGATGAACAAAATGGGAATATCAATAAGGAGGTAAAAATCATAAAGAGGAAACTAATAGGAATTCTCGCATTACAAAATACAACAACTGGACAAATTTATAAGCAAATTTCAACAACTGATTTGATTCTGTAGAAGAAAGGATCAGTGAACTGAAAGATAAATAATCGAGCCTGAAGAGAAGAATGACAAAAGAGTGGAGGAAATGGAATGAAACCCAAGGGTTCTGTGGGTCACCGTTAAGTAGACCAACCTGTGAGAAGAGACAAAGAGGTCGAGGAACCATTTGAAAAAATAATGAATGAAAATTTCCGAACTTGATGAAGGAAATGAACGAAAATCCAAGGAGCTCAAATGAACGCCACGCAGGCTAAATCAAAAGCCACCAAGACACGTTATAGACAATGACAAAGACAGGATCTTGATTGTACACCTGGAACTCATATCACACTGTATGTTAACTAGAATTTAAATAAAAACCTAAAAACAAGGAGAGAGGATCTTGAATGCCACAAAAGTGACTCATCTCAAGGGTCCTCAGTGTTATTGCTAGCTTATTTCTCTTAATAAACCATGAGGCCAAAAGACAGTGGGATGACATAATTAAAGTGTGGAAAGGGGAAAAAGAAACCCATCAACAAAGAATTTGAAATAAAAATTGCCCTTCAGAAATTAGAGAGAAATCATAACATTCCCAAATAAGCAAAACCAAGGGACTCTATTCCCTTTAGACCAACCATACAAGAAATGTTAATATAGCCCCTTAAGTTGGAATGAAAGAATGCTAGACAGTAACTAAATACAAGAAGAATGGATGAATAAAGAACACTGGTAAAGGTAACCACCTAAGGAAATATAAAAACTAATATTATTGCATTTGGGGTTTATAACTCCTCATTTCTCCTCTGATTTATTTTTGGTTTTTTAATTTATATTATTTATATTTTTAAAAGATAATTTATTGTCAAGTTAGCTAACATACAGTGTATACAGCATGCTCTTGGCTTCGGGAGTAGATTCCCATGATTCATCGCTTACATACAAGGCCCAGTACTGATCCCAACAAGTGCCCTCCTCAGTGCCCATCACCCATTTCCCTCTCACCAACCCCCATCAACCCTCAGTTTGTACTCTGTTTTTAAGAGTCTCCTATGGTTTGCCTCCCTCTCTGTTTGAAACTATTTTTTCTCCTTCCCCTCTCCCATGGTCTTCTGTAAAATTTCTCAGGATCCACGTATGAGTGAAAACATATGGTGTCTGTCCTCTTCTCTGACTGACTTATTTCACTCAGCATAATACGCTCCAGTTCTACCATGTTGATGCAAATGGCATGATTTCATTCTTTCTCATTGCCAAGTAGTATTCCACTGTGTATATAAACCACATCTTCTTTATCCATTCATCAGTTGATGGATATTTAGGCTCTTTCCATAGTTTGGCTGTTGCTGAAAGTGCTGCTATAAACATTGGGTACAAGTGCCCCTATGCATCAGTACTCCTGTATCCCTTGGGTAAATTCCTAGCAGTGCTATATTGCTGGGTCATAGGGTAGATCTATTTTTAATTTTCTGAGGAACCTCCACACTGTTTTCCAGGGTGGCTGCACCAGTGTGCATTCCCACCAACAGTGCAAGAGGGTTCCTGTTTCTCCACATCCTCACCAGCATCTGTCCTCTGATTTAAAAGGCAAACACACAAACCAATGTATTGTTTCTATCGATATTAATGGGCATGCAATGCAGAAGGATGTAAGCAGTGAAAATAACAATATAAGGGGGAGGGATAGATATGTACAGAAACAGAGTGTTGCATAATTTTGACACTAAGTTGGTATCATTGGAACTAGGTTGATATAAGGTGACCAAGTGGACTGCTTCCCCAAGATAACCACCGATCTCACATGCATGCACGCGCGCGCACACACACACACACACACACACACACACACACACACCCCGACTACGTATGAGGAAAGGGAATAATAGAAGATAGAACAAAAAAAAAAAAAAAAGGAAAAAATTAAGACACACATAAGGAAATAGCCACATGGTATAAGTGAATTTTTGTTATCAACATTACTTTAAAATAAAACAGATTCAACTCTCCAAATAAGGCAGAGATTGACAGAGTAAGTAAAAATCTCACTTATCTATATACTGTGTGAGAGTATTTGGATGCAAAGACAAAACATTTGAAAATAAAAGGAGGGAG